TCCCAACACATGGTGAAAGAGATACATATTTTGAGGGTAGAAAGGATCAGAGGAACAATTTCACCATCTATCACACCTCCCCAAAAGAAAGAGACCCATGAAAAAGGCACCAAATACACACTAGTACCTACATACAACCTGAAAGTTCAAAACTTAAAAGTAGTAGCTGGGAGAAATCACCATCTATAAAAAGCCAGAGAAGGGGCTGCAGAGGACAGCAACTCCACTCCTTCTTCCCCTATGAAAATAAGAGTTCTTTTCCTGGCCAGTCATCAAATGTTCACACAATATATATACAAAAGATAACATGGCTTTCCAAAATAAAGACAGCAAATTAAAGGCATACAGAATATCAATAAACAGGTAATTATGCACCCAGTAATTAATTTAGTCACCTATGAGAAGATATTGCAGAATGTTACTTTATATAAAGACATAGAAGTGTATGCACATGCACTTTTAAGATAAACTATCATAAAGTAGGAATACAAAACCTTCAACAGCAAGACCACTGTTTTGCCTCTAGAGGGCAAACTTGGTCTTCTGAAAAACTGACAGGAGAAGTGATTTTCAGACTTTACAAAAAAGTTAAAACTTAAAATGCTAAGATAGCAAAGATTCCCAGATTTTCTTGGTTAATAGTACCCTCAGTGTCCCAGTAATTTTTCCATCGAGCCTCCCTAAACTAACAAAAATACCTAATAATTCTAATTCTGTTTAATAACTATAGCAGTTATGTCTAACAATTTAATAGAATTAATGTTCTAACACGTAGTAACCATTTGAAAATATAACGCACATAAATTAAAGAAAAAGTTTTATTTCACTCCTAAATAACCACAATTAATTACTAATTGAGCATGAAATTGTATACTGTACAATTTCTCAAAATTTGAAGTCCAATTAGATACTATTACCCTCATTTTTCCTGTTCCACACTTATTTTTGCAGATTATCTGATTTTTATCAAAACCTCAGAAAAATTAGATTCACAAAGATGTGAAAATAATATAGTGCCATTTAATGTTGAAATTGTGTACTACCTCAAGCTAAAAGTCTACCATATCTGACAGATGTGGAGTATCACTGAATTTGCCATGGTTCCCCCACTAGCTGAAACACCTGGGTGCCTGAGTACACACCTTGGGAATCAGCATAGTTTTAAGTTCCAGCAGCTATTTAAACTACTCAACATTTTAATTAATTGTAAACAAAATTAACTATAACTAATGTTTTTAAAGATCTAAAAATTGTTTTCTTATAACACTTTTGGGAACAATCTTTCTTTTGAGCAATAAAAGGAACACTATTAAATGCTTAAAGGAAGATGTTTTTCCAATTTGAATGATAATTATTGCCTTAATGTCATTGTTTTTATAATGCTGGTTGTGTTGAATCTGATTAACTACAATTGGGAAGCAGAGAAATAGAAAATTTATTATATATCTCCCGAGCAACAAATTCTCCAAATTTAAAAATGCTACAAATTGATCCAGTCTTGCTGCTTTCCAGTCTCACCAATCTCCTAGTACTGAATAGCACAAATTTAGGAGTCAGATAAGATCTGAAATTCTTTAAAACTCAAGAATAGAAATATTAATACAGATATTAAAAGAATTAGCTTCTAAACTACTAAAAAAGATTATATATACACTCATCTCACAAAGTCCTTGGTTTAGATAGAACATCAGAAAAGTAATCAAAGAGTTCAACCTCAAACTCTACTCAGTTTTTCTTTTTACTGTTTCATAAGTTCACAACTATCTATATCCACAAAATCTGTGCCACTGGCAAATGCTACCGTGTTCAATTCGAAGTCAAAATCTGTGGTCAGAGTAGATAGCTAACAATAACAACAACGATAACAAAAGGCTATCCAAGGAATAACTAGGAAACAATATCAATATTCTTTTTTTTAAAATATATTTTTATTGACTGCAGAGAGGAAGGGAGAGGGAGAGAGAGATGGAAACATCAATGATGAGAGAGAATCATTGATCAGCTGCCTTCTCCACGCCCCCTACTGGGGATCAAGCCTGCAACCCAGGCATGTGCCCTTGACTGGAATCGAATCCAGGACCCTTGAGTCCACAGGCCGACGCTCTATCCACTGAGCCAAGCCAGCCAGGACAATATTCTATTACTTTAAAGAATTTTCACAACCATAAAAGATAATTGAAAATGTGTCATGTTTTAAAAATATATTAAGGTTGCTAGAAATATCTATAATCCCCAAATTTTATATGTACAAAAATATAAATGAGCCGGAGGAACCGAAGATGGCGGCATAGGTTAACGCCGGAGATTGCTGCCTTGAACAACCAATTCAAATTAAGCTTGAAACAGGGAACGGACAACATCCAGAAACACAGGAGGGCTGGCTGAGTGGAAATTCTACAACTAGGAGTAAAGAGAATATCATATCCAGACTCAGAGGAGGCGCAGTGCTGAAGCGA